GTGGAGTGTGTGTGTATGATGTGTGGAGTGTGTGTGGTGGGTATGATGTGTGGAGTATGTGTGTATTGTCTATGATGTGTGGAGTGTGTGTATGATGTGTGGAGTATGTGTGTATTTTCTATGATGTGTGGAGTGTGTGTATGATGTGTGGAGTGTGTGTGTTTTGTGTATGATGTGTGGAGTGTGTGTGTATGATGTGTGGAGTGTGTGTGGTGTGTATGATGTATGGAGTATGCATGTATTGTGTATGATGTGTGGAGTGTGTATGTATGATGTGTGAAGTGTGTGTGTATGATATATGAAGTGTGTGTGTATGATGTGTGAAGTGTGTGTATGATGTGTGGAGTGTGTGTGGTGTGTATGATGTGTGGAGTGTGTGTGGTGTGTATGATGTGTGGAATGTGTGTGTATGATGTGTGGAGTGTGTGTGTTTTGTGTATGATGTGTGGAGTGTGTGTGCATGATGTGTGGCACATTGTGTATGATGTATGGAGTGTGTGTGTATGATGTGTCATGTGAAGTATGTGTGTGGTGTGTGATTAGCATATGTGTGGCATGTGTGGTGTGTGTATGTGTGGCATGTGGAAGTGTGTGTCTGTGTTATGTAGTGTGTGTACGTACATTCTTCTGAGGAGAGGGTTCACTGTTTTCCTCAGATACCCAAAACAAACAGCAAAGAGCCTTGGCGTTAGGATAAGATGGCGAACTTGGCACAGGTAGACCAGGGTTATCTTTCTGCCTGATTTAAAGATCTGATCTTTTTGGGTAGATAGCAGCATATGCCTGGAGTTATAAATTGCAACTTGGCTTTACAGTGTGTCTTTCGTCAGTTCAGACTGCTATAACGAAATACCATCGCCTGGGTGGTTTATAAACAACAGGCATTTATTCCTCACATTTCTTTTGTTTGTTTGTTTGCTTGTTTTTTTTGTGTTTTTTTTTGAGATGGAGTCTCACTCTTTTGCCCAGGTTGGAGTGTAGTGGCACAATCTGGGCTCACTGCAGCCTCCGCCTCCCAGGTTCAAGCGATTCTCCTGCCTCAACCTCCCTGATAGCTGGGATTACAGGTGCGTGCCACCACCCCCGGCTAATTTTCGTATTTAGTAGAAACAGGGTTTCACCATGTTGGCCAGGCTGGTCTCGAACTCCTGACCTCAGGTGATCCACCTGCCTCAGCCTCCCAAAGTGCTGGGATTATAGGTGTGAGCCATCGTGCCTGGCCTAGTTCTCACATCTCTAGAGATTGGACAGTGCAAGATCAGGGCACCAGCAGACTCAGTGTCTAGTGAGGGCCTGCTTCCTCATAGACAGCCATCTTCTCACTGTAACCTCACATGGTGGAGGGGTCTTTCTCAGGCTCCTATTAGAGGGGCACTAATCCCCTGCACCAGGGCTCTGCCCTTGAGAGCTAATCACCTCCCAAAGACCCCCTAATAACCCTTACCTTGGGGTTAGGATTTCAACAGGCCAGGTGAGGTGGCTCATGCTTGTAATCCCAGCACTTTGGGAGGCCGAGTTGGGCAGAACTTCTGAGTTCAGGAGATCAAGATGGCAAAACCCTGTCTCTACTAAAAGTACAAAAATTAACCGGGTGTGGTGGCACACACCTGTAGTCTCAGCTACTCGGGAGGCTGAGGCAGGAGAATCACTTCAACCCAGGAGGCAGAGGTTGCAGTAAGCTGAGATCCTGCCACTGCACTCCCAGCCTGGGCGACAGAGTGAGACTCCGTCTCAAAAAAAAAAAGAAAAGAAAAGAAAAAAAAAAGAAAAATCTTAGCTTGGGCTTGGGCTGCCTGCTGTGCTGGGAAGCTCCCATCAGGACCCATGCGGATGGTGTCTCTCTCAGCATTCCCTTCCCCGACTCCCTTTTTATGCCTCTTTCCTTGTTCATCTGACTCCCTCATTCTTCCTTCTTCTCTTTTCTTCCCTACCCAGACATAGCAAAGAATGGAGTAGGTTCCGAGACACCCATGAGCACTGCTGAGTGGACATACCATCCTGTCAGTGCCCCGAGAACCAACATTCACAGTCCACCCAGCACTGACAACAGTGTCTGGTACATCACAGGGCTCAACAAATAGGGATTGAATTGTGGTCTCTGACTCTCATTGCCCTCATTTTCTACCTTATTTTCTACAGTATTGTACCTATTCTCCGTGTCTCTGATGCTGCCTCATTCTAATGAGGCAGGGCAGAGAAGTAAATGGATTGGCATGTGGCTGGATAGATTTTTCTGTTCTCTATTTCTCAGCTGGCACACAAGACCTTCCTTTCACAATCTGACCTCCAGCCACATCTCCCGCACTCGACTTGAACCTACCCCAAATACTTTTACCCAAACGTGCTATTCTTGTCCTCTGATCTTTTGTGCCTGCTGTTTTTTTGGGTTTTGTTGTTTGTTTATTTGTTTTGTTTTGTTTTGTTTTTCTTTTGAGATGGAGTCTGGCTGTCACCCAGGTTGGAGTGCAATGGCATGATCTCAGCTCACTGCAACCTCCACCTCCCAGGTTCAAGAGATTCTCCTGCCTCAGCCCCCCAAGTAGTTGGGACTACAGGCATGCACCTGTAACCATGTACCCATGTAATCATGCCTGGCTAATTTTTCTATTTTTAGTAGAGACGAAGTTTCGCCATGTTGGTCAGGTTGGTCTCAAACTCCTGACCTCAGGTGATCTGCCTGCCTCGGCTTCCCAGAGTGCTGGGATTACATGTGTGAGCCACTGTGCCTGGCCCTGCTGTTTTATTTGTCCGGAATGTGCCACCACCCACTCGGGGAACTCCTATCTTTCAAGACTGGTTAAAGTACTAGCTTCTTCATGACCCACCAGACCCCAAACAGTTAACCACCATACCCTGCTGCTTCCCCTGCACCTTATACACCTTCGCTTTAGTACTTCCTTCCCTCTCTTGCAATCCTATGTAAATGCTTGGCTACCCTACCAGATTAGCACTACTTGGGAGGAGGAACCAGATCTTCCTTTTTGAATCCGTTGGACTCAGAGGCAGTAGCATGCTTGAGCTAGCTCCTACCAGCTCAAGGGAGCTGGTGATGTGTAGCTCTTCCCAACTCTGCGTTCAGTTATATCACATTAGCAGCTTGAAATTGGCCATGGAATTTTGTCCCATTGACCGTAGCATTTTGTCCCCTGGAAGCTGACAAACGCTACAAATCGAGGCATCCCCATAACCAAAGCTGATTTACTGATTACACTGATACAGTTAAAGGCATTCAATAAATTGGCATCCAGTAGATTTTGTTTTTGTTTTTTGAGACAGAGTCTTGCTCTGTAGCCCAGGCTGGAGTGCAGTGATGCGATCTCGGCTCACTGCACTCTCCACCTCCCAGGTTCAAGCAGTTCTCCTGCCTCAGCCTCCTGAATAGCTGAGATTACAGGCGTGCACCACCACGCCTGGGTTTTTTTTTTTTTTAGATGGACTCTTGCTCTTGTTGCCCAGGCTGGAGTGCAATGGTGCAGTCTCAGCTCACTGCAACCTACACTTCCCAGGTTCAAGCAATTGTCCTGTCTCAGCCTCCCGAGTAGCTGGGATTACAGGTGGCTGCCACCACACCCAGCTAATTTTTTTGTATTTTTAGTACAGATGGGGTTTCACCATGTTGGCCTGGCTGGTCCTGAACTCCTGACCTCAGGTGATCCTCCCGTCTTGGCCTCCCAAAGTGCTGGGATTACAGGCATAAGCCACTGCACCCGGCCACATCCAGTAAATTTTGAATGGGCAAATGCTTTGTGCTCTGGAAAATTCCCCCAAATTAAAGTCAGCTACTTTTTACTCATATGGGTAAATGACTTTCATTGACCTGCTTTTCTATATTCTCCTGCCATTGGTTAGGGCCTAGCCTTTGAATTTAACACACTAGGACTTTAAAAATTAATATGCACCAGAATAACTTGAGGACACTAGTGAAAATGCATATTCTGGCCAGGTGCAGTGGCTCACGCCTGTAATCCCAGCACTTCGGGAGTCCAAAGTAGGCAGATAGTTTGAGCTCAGGAGACTGGCCTGGGCAATGTGGTAAAACCCCATCTCTACCAAAAAATACAAAAAAAAAAAAAAAAATTAACCAGGTTTGGTGGTGCATGCCTGTAGTCCCAGCTACTTGGGAGACTGAGGTGGGAGAATCACTTGAGCCTGGGGAGGTTGAGGCTGCTGTGAGTCATCGCACCACTGCACCCCAGCCTAGGTGACAGCAAGACCTTGTCCCAAAAATAAATAAATAAATAAATAAATAAATAAATAAATAACTTTTAAAAATGCATATTCCTGGGCCTGCCCTTAGCAATTCAGATTCATAGGAATCTGCATTTTATCAAGAAGCCTAAGTGGTTATCATGAAAGGTGAGCACACTAAAATGCTTTGACCTTTATGCCAGCTTTCTTCTCCATGGTTTAAGGAGTCCTGACAGATAGCAACAATGAAAAGGTTTAGGACAGGCGTGGTGGTTCACACCTGTAATCCCAGCACTTTGGGAGGCTGAAGCGGGTGGATCGCGAGGTCAGGAGATCGAGACCATCCTGACCAACATGATGAAACTCCATCTCTACGAAAAATACAAAGATTAGCTGGGCGTGGTGGCAGGCACCTGTAGTCCCAGCTACTCAGGAGGCTGAGGCAGAATCGCTTGAACCCGGGAGGTGGAGGTTGCAGTGAGCTGAGATAGCACCACTGCACTCCAGCCTGGTGACAGAGCGAGACTCCGTCTCAAAAAAAATGTTTAAAATCCTCATTTTGACATTCGCATCAGCCACCCTCCTTCCCCTTCCACCAACCCTTAACTGGAGCTCTCTGCAGTTTGACTGTCACCCTCTCTGCTCTCCTCTGGCAGAGGCTTAAGGGGAGACAAGTGGCCAGGGAGATGGACAGAGAAGGCAAAGGCGTGGGTGATGCATGCTCACAGATGAGCAGTTAGTTGTGTGAGCCCAGGAGCTTCAGGCTGGGGGTAGCAGCAGCAAGTCATGGGTAGTTGTGCCAGGGTTCCCACGAAGCAGAACAGCAGGGCAGTGATCACAGCGTAAACGAGCACTGGGTCAAGTCCAGAGAGGAAGGCTAAGGGGAACATCATAGACCAGGTGGCAGTGATCAAGCAGCTCAAGCAGGAGGCTTCAGGCCAAGGCCAAGGTCCTGGCAGGCAGGATGAGCCCCAGATCTGGAGAAATGTACACAAGAGTGCTTGTCCTCGGGCAGAGACTGTTTGCCTGCTGCTCTCCTAAATGTGCTTTATGACCTTCCAGTCATGGGCGGCAGGGGACTCTGCGGGGACAGCTTTCTCCCAGCTGGGGCAGGACCTGGAATCCAGGCCTCCCTCCAGCTCCTTGCAGTCAGTAAAGCATGTTAGCTCCTCTTCTGTTCAGGCTCTCTAGAAACTGGGTGTGGGGCAGGGCCCCTGTGACCCCTCAGCCCTGAAGGGCAAGCTCTTTTTTTCTCCAGGAAATGGCCAGTGATGAACTGAGGGAGTTGAGGAATGCCATGACCCAGGAGGCCATCCGTGAGCACCAGATGGCCAAGACCGGCGGCACCACCACTGACCTCTTCCAGTGCAGCAAATGCAAGAAGAAGAACTGCACCTATAACCAGGTATGGACAGTGAGGGGATGGGCTGGAGGCGCTGGCGGCCGCAGGGGCAGACAGATGGAAAATCAGAGAGAAGCTTAGGGAAGAGCCAGAGGGGAGAAAGGGTTAAAACTCTCTAAGCTTGGCCGGGTGCAGTGGCTCACGTCTGTAATCCCAGCACTTTGGGAGGCCAAGGTGAGTGGATCACCTGAGGTCAGGAGTTCGAGACCAGCCTGGCCAACATGGTGAAACCCCATCTCTACTAAAAATACAAAAATTAGCCAGGCATAGTGGCACATGCCTGTAATCCCAGCTACCCTGGAGGCTGAGGCAGGAGAATCACTGGAACCTGGGAGGCGGAGGCTACAGTGAGCCAAGATTGCACTACTGTACTCCAGCCTGGGTGACAGAGTGAGACTCTGTCTCAAAACAAACAACAAAAAAAAAAACCTCTCTAGGCTGGGCCAGCTCAGTGGCTCACACCTATAATCTCAGCACTTTTGAGAGGCCGAGGCAGGCAGATAGCTTGAACCTGGGAGTTTGAGTGCAGCCTGGGCAACGTGGTGAAACGTCATCTTTACTAAAAATACAAAAATTAGCCAGGCTTGGTGGTGCATGCCTGTAGTCCCAGCTACTAGATGCGAGGGGGAATGGGTGGTGATGAGGCATGAGAATCACTGGAGCCCAGGAGGTTGAGGCTCCAGTGAACTGAGGCTGCAGTGAGCCGCGATTGCACCACTGCACTCCTGCCTGGGTGACAGAACGCGACCCTGTCTCAACAAAACAAAGAAAACCTTAAAAACTCTCCAGGCTGCAGAGAGAAGGGCGAGCCTTGGTACACTAACATGATGCATCTGTGGCTTCTGGACAATGTTCTGAGTTTAGAATCATCCCACTATGTGTCTATGAGGCATGGTCAGTGTGTTCTCGTCTGCCCTGAAGTGACAAGAAGAAGAATCAGACTCATGGCGGCTGAAGAGTCCCAAACAGTTGAAACGGAACTTGGCAATGTGAAACCCAGCTCCCTCATTACACACCCAGGGAAACTGAGGCCCACACAAGCCACAGATGGGCTTTTTAGCCTTGCCCAAGGTGGCAGAGCAGGCTAGTGTCAGAGATAGTAATAAACCAGATCCAGACCTTTCTGCCTGCAATCCAGCTAACTTGGTCAATAAAGCCTAAGGGCTTTAGCTCTGATTCCTACAGTTGAAGACAATTGCCTTGGCATGGGGAACTTGGGAAGGCTGTGGAGGCCCCTTCTTTTTTTTTTTTTTTTTTTTTGAGATGGAGTCTCGCTCTGTCGCCCAGGCTGGAGTGCAGTGGCCGGATCTCGGCTCACTGCAAGCTTTGCCTCCCGGGTTTACGCCATTCTCCTGCCTCAGCCTCCCGAGTAGCTGGGACTACAGGCGCCCGCCACCTCACCCGGCTAGTTTTTTGTATTTTTTTAGTAGAGACGGGGTTTCACCGTGTTAGCCAGGATGGTCTCGATCTCCTGACCTCGTGATCCACCCGTCTCGGCCTCCCAAAGTGCTGGGATTACAGGCTTGAGCCACCACGCCCAGCCGTGGCCCCTTCTCTTAAAACCAGAGAATGGCCTCCTCTTTCTAGGTTGCACATGGTACGCCCTTACAGCACAAATATCCTTGGATTCTCACTGGCGTCTGGTTATTCTAGAACTCTATTCAGAGTTCTCCGTCTGTTCGGCACACACCATTTATCAAGGGTACCTTGCCTGCGGCATTCTGTGGCCAGGGCAGAAATGCAGTCAGCCTTGTCATTCTGGAGGAGTCCCTTGGAGAATTCCAGGTCTGGAATTCGGAGATGTTTGTGCAAGCTTCTGCTCTCTCCCAAGCACCTTTCCATGTGGAGTGATGCACTTCCTGTGCCTCACTTCTTTCTAGAAGTAAACTGCCCACTAGCAAAGTTTTCTTTCTGCTTGTCACTGCTATCCCGTGACCAGGCTGCGCTAAGCTGTGTACGCCTGGCAGACTGCTGGGCTGCTGGGGCTCACTCAAGGAGGGTGGAGGGCATAACTCGTCCCACACCACAGATTCCCAGCTGACATCATTCATATCTGATTGTCAGCAAAGTAATGACTTGCTACATGTCATGGCCAGCCAAGGTCGGCCTTAGGAAACCAGAACAGGAGTTGTTAAATCTGGAAATGCCAGGGCTTTACTGTGGGATACCCGGTTCCTGCACCTGAATGATGAGGCTAAGAGGATGAGAAAACATAATATTAAATAGTCCCAAAGATATTTAGGTCCCTTTTCCTCTCTGGGCCTCAGGTCTTCCACCAGTAAAATAAGGAAGATGAACTAGACCACTAAGCCTGCTTGCAGCCCACTCTAGTGAGTGTGTCCAGTAGGGTGTGTTCAGGGGTGAGTCAGGGAATACCTCCTGTAGGAGATAAGTCTTGAGGCAAGAGAAGAGAGATCTGTTATGAAAGATCAACAGGCCGGGCGCGGTGGCTCAAGCCTGTAATCCCAGCACTTTGGGAGGCCGAGACGGGCGGATCACGAGGTCAGGAGATCGAGACCATCCTGGCTAACACGGTGAAACCCCGTCTCTACTAAAAAATACAAAAAACTAGCCGGGCGAGGTGGCGGGCACCTGTAGTCCCAGCTACTCAGGAGGCTGAGGCAGGAGAATGGCGTAAATCCGGGAGGCAGAGCTTGCAGTGAGCCGAGATCCGGCCACTGCACTCCAGCCTGGGCGACAGAGTGAGACTCCGCCTCAAAAAAAAAAAAAAAAAAAAAAAACCCCCGGGGCAAAAGGGGAACCCCCCCCAAAAAAAAAAAAAAAAAAAAAAAGAAAGATCAACAAGAGTGAAAATCCAAATTAGCTGGGCATGGTGGTGGGTGCCTGTAATCCCAGCTATTCAGGAGGCTGAGGCAGGAGAATCACTTGAACCCAGGAGGCAGAGGTTGCAGTGAGCCGAGATGGCACCATGGCACTCCAGCCTGGGCAACAGAGCGAGACTGCAGTGTCAAAAATAAAACAAAACAAAAAACAAACAAACAACGACAACAACAAAAACAAAGAGTGAAAGTACAAAAGGCCAGGTTAAGCCAGTAAGATACTGGGAGTGAGCTGATGGACTGCCAGAGGAGAGGAAAGCATGATACTAATATTATGGAGCTGTCAGTGATAAGGAAATTGCCAACATGGGGTGGGAATATCAGTGCCAACCTCTGGGATTTGGACCTATTCCCAAAGACAGTGGGAGCCATGGCAGGTCCTAGAACAGCGAAGTGACTTCATGAGTGGTTCTTCTCTCTCTCAGGTGCAGACACGCAGTGCTGATGAGCCCATGACTACCTTTGTCTTATGCAATGAATGTGGCAATCGCTGGAAGGTCTGTTTGTTTATATATTTCCCCCTTCCCTGTCATCCACATACCTTGCCCGCATAAGGCGTAGTATACCCACATCCCAGAAGGGGCCTTGTGCATGGCAGCGCTTGCCAGCCTGCACAGAGTAGGCCTGTAGAGCCAGAGATAGTGGCGGATTGCTGTTGGGGAGGTGGGAAGGGAACACACAGGCATGTTTTCATTTTAGAAGGGCACCAAGCTGGGGTGGGGGCAGCAGCCCACATTTTATCACAGGATGAGCAAGTCTGTCATTCGAGCACAGATGGAATCGGCTTCCTGAGATCCACAGAGGAGAGGAAAAACATTCTGCACTTGGACCACGCCTCTTTGGAAAGTGCTTCCACAGATGGTATTTCCTTTGAACCTGGCCACAGCCGGGGATGGGAAACAGGAAGGCTGAGCTCTGTCAGAAAGGAGTTGACCCTAAATGCCACCAGGTCATCCTTCCCTCCTAAGGAAGCTCTGGAAGTCTTACATTACCCAAGTCTGTAACTCAGACCGCCCCAGCTCCTGCAAAGGCAGAAGTGTTGTTTTCAGGCATGGGAGCCAAGCAAAGACTCCTCCCAGAGTGCTCCTTCCTGCCAAGTCTCCTGAAGGAACAGAGTGTGGTCACGTGACCAATGTCAGTTTCCAACTGCTATCCGACTTGTATGTGCACCATGTGATGTCTGGGCCACCAGGCAGGCTACAGGTGCTCCAGAAGTTCTAAGGTACTTAGCAAGGAGTACAAGACAAGTCAGGATCCCTGGCTTCAGGTGCCATTCTGCGCTACTCACCCTGAGCGTGTTACTCACCTCCTTGAGCGAAAGAGGAATAATAATGCCTTTCTCCCAGGGTTGATGATGTGAGGATCATTTTGACGTGAGGATTATTACGTATGCATAAACACTTTGCAAACAACTACAAGAATTGTTCCTTTATAATGTTATTCTTACTTTCAGACAGGGAAATTGAAATACAGAAATAGTTAATAAGCATAAAGCCACAGTTTGGAGCACTGAAAGCTGATGCTCCGACTTCCTGATCAATTCTTTTTCTTACTAAGGACCTCAGTAGTCCTTACTGGGGCCTCATTAGAACTGCCATATTTTTAAAGGTAAAAACCAGATGATTATGTATTTTTTCTTTTTTCACTTATTGAGCACTTAGGGATGGGGTCAGTATCGTGGCCTACTGGTTTAGAGCATGGGATTTGGCACCAGGCTCGAATCCTAGCTTTATCCCTTACAAAGTGACTTAGCTCAGTGACTTGAACTCACTAAGCCTGGATTTCCTCATCTATAAAATGAGGGTATTCATATCTAGCCCACAGAGCTGTTTTGAGGATTAGAGAAGGTAACACCTGTAAAGCATTAACAGGACCTTGAGAGCTCATATGGCATCTTTGTCAAATTAGGAAAAGGTGTCCCTTCCTCCAGGTGACACAGCCTCATGCCAGGGTACAGAGCAAATAGAGCAGGGGCTAAGTTTCAGCCTCAGCTTGCCCCTTTGGCCAGGCTCTTTTGTGCAGTCAACAAATTATACAACCATACAAAAAAAAAAGGCCCTGAGCACAGACATACCTGGTACATAAAACCACGATTCTTACTATTTTGGGTATGCCATCTATTAGTATTATGGGAGTTTGAGCAACTCGCTTAACCTCTCTGATCTGCTTCCTTACCTGTACAATGGGAGTGATAGGCCGGGCATAGTAGCTCATACCTGTAATCCCAGCACTTTGGGAGGCCAGTGGATCACCTGAGGTCAGGAGTTTGAGACAGCTCGACCAACATGGAGAAACTCTGTCTCTACTAAAAATACAAAATTAGCCAAGCGTGGTGACACATGCCTGTAATCCCAGCTACTCAGGAGACTGAGGCAGGAGAATCGCTTGAACTCGGGAGGCAGAGGCTGTGGTGAGCCAAGATCTTGCCATTGCACTCCAACCTGGGTGACAAGTGAAACTCCGTCTCAGAAAAAAAAAAAATTGGGAGTGATATTAGTGCCTACCTCACAGAGTGATTGTAAGGGGGAAATGAGTTAATACATGTTAATACTGCCTAGCACAGAGTAAATGCTCAATAAATGCAGCTCTTGTGATTTTGTTACTGTTAGAGAAAGGACATTCTGAATGCTCTAAATCCAGCTCCTCCTCCTTGATTCCTCCTAGTTGGAGGGACAGGATCCACTAGAGGTAACAACTACAGGCTTCTGAACACACTTCCAGATGGTCTCTGTTACCACGTGGGAGACTGAAAGTCTAACCAAGTTAGTAGTAGACTGTTAGACTACTAACAGTCTAACCTGTTAGTAGTCATCCCAGTGATGTTCTTGATCATAAATTGAGAGTTCAGCACATTCCTGGCACCGAATCGCCATTCATTTATTACCTGATATCATTCTCACATTCACCAGCATTATCAGCTCATTTTACAGGTGAGTGATATGTTCAAGATCACACAGCTAATAATGGCAGAGCTGGGCTTTGGACTCTGGTCTGTGTGGCTCCAGACACCACCTTCTTTTTCATATTCCCCTACAGCCTCCTTGGAGGATGCTGAGAAACCTTTCAAATTTTGTTGCCTTTCTGGTTTTGTAGTTCTGCTGATGGAACGGCCAGGACCGCCATGAACAAGGTGAGGAAGAACAAAGAGGAAGCGCTGAACTGTCTAAACTGGAGAAGCAATAAAAATTAAAGTGAAGGAAGATACTGAACTCTGAGTGGGGTGGTATGAGTTGGAGGAAGAATTCTCTTGCAAATTAATAATCGGTCATTAGAAACAATTGGTTAAGTGGGGAGACTAATTGGAGTATGATGCTGAGAATCTTATTGATGAACCTCTTGTAGAAACTGCAGAGGACCAGGCACAGTGGCTCATGGCTGTAATATGCAAACTCCTGGAGACTGAGGTGGGAGAATCACTTGACCCCAGAAGTTTGAGTCCAGCCCGGGCAACATAGCAAGACCCCATCTCTACAAAAATAAAAGAAAAAGAAAAAATAAAGAAACTGCAGCGTGTTAGACCTGAGGTGTCGTATCTTTGATAGTAGGCTGGCAGACCTTTGCTTTGAGTTCCTTCTCTCCCATCTGGATCTCCCAGCCTTTTTCTGAATTGAAAAATGCCAGATCAACACAAAGCTCACCCGCCCCCCGACTTCAGAGTCACACGTGCAGAACAGCTGATACACCGTTTGGCTTCAGCAGATATTATTTCCATACTATGTACTAGGTTGCAGCAAAAGTAATTGCGGTTTTTGGAATTACTTTTGCAGTAACCTAATAGAAATATTTCTTCCCTACTCTTTCCTCATCTCTTCCCAAACTCTTTGCTATTCCCTGTTCACAGCTGGCTGTGGGGGCTTTTGAGGACTCCAGATCATATCCCTCTAGGCAGGGAACAAATCCTCTTGAGCTGGGCTTTCTGAGTGAAGATTACAGCAGCACTCTGACTTCCATGGCCCCTTGAAAGTCCTGAGCCTCAGAACCCACCCAGGCCCTAGCAATGTGTCCCTCACAGCTCCATCTGTGACCTGAGCTTCACAAGACATCTGCAGAGCACAGAGACTTTGCCATGCTTCTCCCATGATAATTATTGGCTTGCTTTTTTTGTTTTTGTTTTTCTTTTTTAGAGGCTGGAATGCAGTGGTGTGATCTCGGCTCACTGCAATTTCCACCTCCTAGGTTCAAGCAATTCTCCTGTCTTAGCCTCCTGAGTAGCTGGGACTATAGGCATGAGCCATCAACCCTGGCTAATTTTTTATATTTTTAGTAGAGACGGGTTTTTGCCCTGATGGCCAGGCTAGTCTCGAATTCCTGGGCTCAAGTGATCCACCCTCCTCGACCTCCCAAAGTGGTGGGATTACAGGTGTGAGCCACCATGCCTGGCCTTGGCTTGCTTTTGATGCTGACAGGAACTTTCGGTAAAGCTAGAAACTTCTAGAAAAGCCTTGGGGAAGCTGTTGGGGCAACTACAACCCAAGTTCCTCATATACCCTGGACATCATTTACTTTAGAATTGGTTACTGTCTTCTTCCTTCCATCCATAAGTGCCTTCTCCTGTAGATGAAGCCGGGAAATAAACTAGGTACAGGAGTCTTCCACCGTCTTTGACTTTTATTTATTTATTTCTATTTATTTATTTATTTATTTTTGAGATAGGGTCTCTCTCTGTCGCCCAGACTGGAGTGCAGTGGCACAATCTTGGCTCACCGCAACCTCCGCCTCCCAGGTTCAAGCGATTCTCCTGCCTCAGTCTCCTGAGTAGCTGGGATTACAGGCGCGCACCATTACCACCAGTTAGTTTTTGTATTTTTATTACAGACAGGGTTTCACCATGTTGGCCAGGCTAGTCTTGAATTCCTGACCTCAAATGATCCACCCACTTTGGCCTCTCAAAGTTCTGGGATTTAGCCACTGTGCCCGGCTTCATCTTTGACATTTTTGTTTCTGTTTGAGACGGAGTTTCTTGTTGCCCAGGTTGGGATGAAATGGCACGATCTTGGCTCACTGTACCCTCCGCCTCCTGGGTTCAAGCGATTCTCCTGCCTCAGCCTCCTGAGTAGCTGGGATTACAGGCCCCCGCCACCACACCTGGCTAATTTTTTTTTTTTTTTTTTTTGTATTTTTAGTAGAGACGGGGTTTCACCATGTTGGCCAGGCTGGTCTCGAACTCCTGACCTCAGGTGATCCACCCACCTTGGCCTCCCAAAGTGCTGGAATTACAGACGTGAGCCACTGCACCTGGTCTGTCTCTGAGTTTTAAACAGTTAGATTTGGGATGAATCCCTTCCTTGGAAAGATTGAAAATCCTCTCACAGATGATACAACACAAAGAGCTCTTAAATGGCAGAGCCAGGACACAGACCCAGGTCTTCTGCTTGCTATCATTGTGCCATAAGACATCCAGAGCTGGCCGGGCGCGGTGGCTCAAGCCTGTAATCCCAGCACTTTGGGAGGCCGAGATGGGCGGATCACGAGGTCAGGAGATCGAGACCATCCTGGCTAACTCGGTGAAACCCCGTCTCTACTAAAATAAAATAGCAAAAAACTAGCTGGGCATGGTGGCAGGCGCCTGTAGTCCCAGCTACTCGGGAGGCTGAGGCAGGAGAATGGCATAAACCCAGGAGGTGGAGCTTGCAGTGAGCCGAGATCGCGCCACTGGGCGACAGAGCGAGACTCTGTCTCAAAAAAAAAAAAAAAAGAGATCCAGAGCTATACACAGCGATCAGCCCCTACCTTCCAGGAAGTCACAACCTGGCAGGGAAAGAAACCATAGGCACAGATTTCCACACCAGATGGGATGCGATAAATGCCACATACATCTGAGGGACCAATATTATCCACAGACGTGCAGGGGGATGTTGCTTAGAAACCCAGATGTTTCTTAAACTTTAATACAGGTGGGAATTCACTGGGGATTGTACTGAAATGCAGATTCCAATTCAATGGGTCTAGGGTGTGCCTTGAGATTGTTCATTTCTTTCCTTTCTCTCTCTTTTTTTTTTTTTTTTAAGACAGGGTCTCACTCTGTTGCCCAGACTCCAGACTGGAGTGCAGTAACGCCATCATGGCTCACTGTGGACTTGACCTCCTAGGGTCAGGCGATCCTTCCACCTCAGCCTCTGGAGTATCTGGGGCTACAGGCGTGCACCACCACACCTGGCTAATTTTTTATTTTTTACAGAGATAGGGTCTCCCTATGTAGTCGACGCTGGTCTCAAACTCCTGGGCTCAAGCAATCCTCCTGCCTCAGCCTCTCAAAGTGCTGGGATTACAGGCATGAGCCAGCTCACCCAGCTGATTTTTCATTTCTAACCCAATGCAGCTGGTCCACAGACCACACTTTGAGTAGGAAGGCCTTAGATGTCCAGATTTTTCTCTGTATTATCTAATCCTCCATCCAAATGTCTAGAAACCAAAAGCAGAACAAAAAGCAACCACTGTCAATTTAATAAGTCCAATAAAGGTTACTTTTGTGTGAGTTTTGTTTTGTTTTGTTTCAAGACAGAGTCTTGCTCTGCTGCCCGGGCTGGAGTGCTCTGTCACCCAGGCTGGCGCGATCTTGGCTCACTGCAACCTCCATCTCCCGGGTTCAAGAGATTCTCCTGCCTCAGCCTCCCAAGTACTGGAACCCCAGTACTGGAACCACCACACCCGGCTAATTTTTGTACTTTTAATAGAGATGGGGTTTCACCATGTTGGCCAGGCTGGTCTCAAACTCCTGACCTCAGGGGATCTGCCTGCCTCGACCTCCCAAAGTGCTGGGATTACAGGCATGAACCACCACGCCTGGCCTTGAGTGAGGCTTTTTTTTTTTTTTTTTGGAGACAGAGTCTTGCACTGTCGCCCAGGCTGGAGTGTAGGGGCGCTATATCGGCTCACTGCAACCTCCACCTCCCGGGTTCAAGCAATTTTCCTGCCTCAGCCTCCCAGGCAGCTGAGATTACAGGCGCCTGCCACCACGCCTAATTTTTTTTTTTTTTTTGTATTTTTAGTAGAAATGGGGTTTCACCATGTTGGTCAGGCTGGTCTTGAACTCCTGACCTCATGATCCGCCCGCCTCGGCCTCCCAAAGTGCTGGGATTACAGGTGTGAGCCACCGCGCCCAGCCAACCTTGGGTGAGTTACGCGGCACCTTGGGGCGATTTTCAGTAGTCACAATCTAAATATCCATTGTGTTTCCTGTGTCATAGCATAGGGATTTAGAGCACAGGAAAAAAAAAAAAAAAAGAAAACTGATCTTCACCCTCAATAACCTTACTGTTTACAAAGGAGATGAGTCAGATTAAACAGCAAAAGAACAAGTCAGCTCAAGTCCACACATCTATACAGTATACATTCACATTCACAAAAGGACACAAAAGAGTATGAACAGGCTACAGACTGTCATCAGCAGGCGGCAAAACCCTCCCTGCAGGCCTTCCCGTGTCCACTCTGGATCCACTCCAATTCATGCTCTCCATGACAACTGACCGGAACTGGCTTTTCCACATTGTAAAACTGATCCTTAGAGTCTCCCACTCTACACTCCCATTTAAAACCCTCCTCCCCCCCTTCCCCCACCACTGCTCTTGGCAAGGTCTACAAGGCCCTGCAGGGCGGGCCTGTGCCTCGCCCGCCCCCGCACTTTGTGCTGCAATCACACTGGCCTTCTCTCAGTTCTTCACGACATGCTGTGCTCCTCCTTGTCACAGTCTTTCCACACACTGTTGGCTGGAACACGTGGTTTAACCCCATCTCCTTCATAACCAAAGATGAAGAAGGTGCGAACTACAAGCGAGTTAGCATTCACTTCTGCCACCCAGGAGGGCTTCCGAGGGGAGGGGAGGTGGTTACCGTATGGGAGGAAAAAGACAAGGTCAAGTGAGGCAAAACAGGCAACATGCTTGGAATGAAAGAGCTCACCAGAATGTTATGGCCAAAAGAATTTGAAAATAGGCTGGGTGCGGTGGCTCATGCCTATAATCCCAGCACTTTAGGAGTCCAAGGTGGGCAGATCACTTGAGGTCAGGAGTTCGACACCAGCCTGGGCAACATGGTGAAACCCCATCCCTATTAAAAATACAAAAACAAACAAACAAAATAGCTGGGCAAGGTGGCGCATGCCCGTAATCCCAGCTACTCTGGAGGCTGAGGCAGGAGAATCACTTGAACCCAGGAGGCAGAGGTTGCAGTGAGCTGAGATTGCCACTGCACTCCAACCTGGGTGACAAGAGTGAAACTCCACCTCAAAAAAAAAAAAAAAAAAAAAAATAGAAGAGCTTGAAAATGGAAGAATGGAAGATGGTTCAAGATCCTATGGCCAATTTGGGTGTCTTCAAAAGGTTCCAGGAACCTAAAATACGTACAGGATGAGAAGTCTTTCTTAGTATTTTCATCCAGACTACCAAATCTCTCATTAGCCCTGGTTTTTCTTTAGTTCAAGACTTACATTGCCAAATGCCTATTTGGATACCTCCTCGCAAGCACCCCACTGACCCTCTCAATACTATAATCCAGTTAATCTGAAACTGAACTCACATCTCTGTTTTTTAATTTAAAAATAATTTTTTTGAGATAGGGTCTCATCCCGTCACCCAGGCTGGAATGCAGTGGTGCAATCACAGCTCACCGAAGCCTTGATGTTTCAGGATCAAGTGATCCTCCCACCTTTGCCTCCCAAGTAGCTAGAACCACAGGTGTACACCACTACCCCGGCTAATTTTTTTTATTTGTAGAGATGAAATCTCGCTGTGTTTTCCAGGCTGGTCTCGAACTCCTGTGCTTGAGTGATCCTCCCACCTCAGCCTCCCAAAGTGCTGGGATTACAGGTGTGAGCCACCATACCCTGCCATTTTGTTTGTTTGTTTTTTGAGAGACAGGGTCTCACTCTGTTGCCTGGGCTAGAGTGCAGTGGTGTGATCATAGGTCACTGCAGTCTTGAACTCCTAGGCTTAAGTGATCCTCCCACCTCAGCTTCCTGAGTAGCTGGGACTACAGGCACATGCTACCACATCTGGCTAATTTTTTTTTTCTTTTGTCAGGTACGGTGGCTCATGCCTGTAATCCCAGCACTTTGGGAGGCCGAGGTGGGCAGATCACCTGAGGTCAGGAGTTTGAGACCAGCCTGCCAACATGTACTAAACATCAACTAAAAATACAAAAATTACCCAGTCACAGTGGCGCATGCCTGTAATCCCAGCTACTCAGAAGGCTGAGGCACGAGAATCGCTTGAACCTGGGAGGTGGAGGTTGCAGTGAAGTGCCACTGCACTCCAGCCTGGGCGACAGAGTGAGACAGTGTCTCAAAAAAAAAAAAAAAAAATCTGTAGAGATGGGCACTCGGGGGGGGGGGTCTCCCTATGTTACCAAGCCTGGTCTCCAACTCCTGACCTCAAGCGATCCTCCCGCCTGGGCCTCCCAAAGTGTTGAGATCACAGGTTTGAGCCACTGAGCCACTGAGCCACCGAGCCACTGCACCCCATGCATTTTTTCTTTCTTTGGTCCCCTTCTGTCTTTCCTATTTATCAGCTAATTCATTCCTTAAAACCATCTGTGACCCTTTCCCCTTGTCCTCTTCACTTATTTCCCAATTCTAGAGTCTCTCCCTTCACCAACCCTTATCTCCATTCCCATCACTGTCATCACGGCCTTTCAGGTTTTCTTTTTTTTCTTGAGATGGAGTCTCACTCTCGCCCAGGCTGGAGTGCAGTGGTGCGATCTCCACTCACTGCAAGCTCTGCCTCCCAGGTTCATACCATTCTCCTGCCTCAGCCTCCCGAGTAGCTGGGACTACAGGTGCCCGCCACCACGCTTGGCTAATTTTTTTTTTTTTTTTTTTTTAGTAGAGATGGGGTTTCACCGTGTTAGTCAAGATGGAGGTTTTCTTTTTTCTAGGACTGGTGCAAAGGTCTTCTACTGATCCCCTAACTCAGAGCACTATCTTCCCTGCATCTACCCTGCCTGGCTCTGAGCGTCATTCCCTGTCTTCAGCAGGTTCCACCAGCTATCAAAATTCAACTATTTGGTTTGATTTTCAAAGCTCTGTCTGCCCTCTGCCTTTTTTGGGGGAAGGCAGGGGGACCTAGAGGCTTTTATGTCTGACTGCGCCAATGGGCCCTTGCCCTCTGCTTGGCTTTGGTGGTTCATCATCCACCCCTGCTGTCCCTTATGCTCCAGGCTAAAGGAGATATTTGCCCTGTGTTTGAATACCCAATGGACCTTCTCATTTGTGACTGCTTGTATTGCTTCCTTTTCCCCAGCCTGATCCAAATCTTATCCATTCTTCAAGGCTCACCTCAGATGCACATCTTCTTATGAGGTCTCTAATCCCCTAGCAACGCGAGACGGTTCCTTAGAACTCCCACAGCATCGAGAAATTCTCATAGCACACATTGCATTCAACCATCATGATGATGATGATGATTCCTTTAAAATTTTTGTATGACAGTGTGAGTAATATCTATTAATTACTCAGCATTTACTAGCTGAATATCTTGGGCACATTATACAATTTCTGCATGCTTCTAGTTTCATCTGTAAAACAGTGGTAATAAGAGCTTCTAGCTCACAGGATTGTTGTGAGGATTCATTTAGTTAATACAAACAGAGCAGCAGAATCAGGCCTGACACATAGTGACTGATTAGTTGTTACTAATATTAGCTACGGTTGTTACTATGAGTGCAGGGTAGCACTTTACATTGATTGCCTCAATGAGCCCTCTGACCTCATGAACTAGGTTACTATTATTATACTCTTTTTAAAAAATTGTAGTAAACTACACATAACATAAACCATCTTAGCAGTTTTTAAAAATTTATTTTGAGACAGTCTCTGTCGCCCAGACAGGAGAGCAGTAGCGCAATCTCGGCTCACTACAACCTCTGCCTCCTGGGTTCAAGTGATTCTCATGCCTCAGCCTTCTGAGTAGCTGAGATTACAGGTGCACACCACCGGGCCTAGCTAACTTTTGTATTTTTAGTAGAGATGGGGTTTCAACATGTTGGCCAGGCTGGTCTGGAACTCTCAGCTTCACGTGATCCACCCGCCTCGGCCTCCCAAAGTGCTCGGATTACAGGCATGTGCCACTGCGCCCAGTCCATCTTAATAATGTTTAACCAAATAGCTCAGTAGGGTTAAGTACATTCATATTGTTGTACAACCAGTCTCTAGAACTCTTCATCTTGCAAACTGAACCTTTACACTCCTTAAATAACTCATTTCCTCCTCCCCTCAAGCCCTGGAAAGCACTATTCTACTTTCTATGAATTTGTATTATTTTAGTCTTTACAGACTGAGAAAACCAAGGTTCTGAGAGTAATTTTTTTTTTGAGACGGAATACAGAATCTCACTCTGTCGTCCAGGCTGGAGTACAGTGGCACAATCTTGCCTCACTGCAACCTCCACCTCCCGGGTTCAAGCAATTCTCCTGTCTCAGTCTCCTGAGTAGCTGGGATTACAGGCCCACGCCACCATGCCCAGTTAATTTTTGTATTTTTAGTAGATACAGGTTTCACCATGTTGGTCAGGCTTGTCTCGAACTCCCGACTTCATGATCCGCCCACCTCGGCCTCCCAAAGTGCTAAGATTACAGGTGTGAGTCAAATAATTTGTTTTTAGAGAAAGAACCTGGATTTGAACCCAGAGCCCAGGTCATGCTTTGAGCCACTTTGCAATATGTTCACCTCACAGAACATGTGTGATGTGTTTTCCCTGCCCCATAATAGTGATGGCCATGGTATGCCAAGGCCCTCCTCTGTACCATTCTCACATTTAGTCCATGCAGCAGCCCTGCAGTCGTTGTGAGGGGTGATGTCCTATTTCCCAGCTCAGTAGCTGGTATAGAATCGGGTTCAGTGAGTATGGGTCTGTTTGACGTCTTTAAGTAGGCGTCTTTAAATAATACTAAATAAGTTTGTATTGCATTTTTAATGCAATTGTCTATATTTAATGCAATTGTCTATATATTAATGCAATTGTCTATATACTTGGAAAATATTGATTCTTTTTGGAGAAAACCAGTTGAAATGTATGAGGTCATAAAGAGCTTCCCAATCATCTCTACTTCCCCCTCCTCTGCAGAGTCAATCTGCTCTCCTCACCCTAGGCCAGTCCCCGGGCCGTCCCCCCATCTTTACCTCATCACTAGCATTGCAACTCACAGCCAAAGGCAGAGACAAACAGGCAGACAGGCAAGGGGACTAGGAGATTCTCTGTGCTCTGCTTCCTCCCCCTGCTGCTCCACCCCCACACTATTCCCTCTAGCCAAAACCAATCCTGACCAGCCTGGAACATGCTCTGGCCTTTCACGCCTCCGTGCCTTCGCACATGCTGTTCTTGAAGACTGGAATGCCTTCCCTCCCACCTTCTCCACCTCCAAACTCCTACAGTCTTACCAGCTCAGATGTCACCTCCTCTGTGAAGCCTCCCCGCCCCGCTCCCCGCCAGCTAGGAATCCACCCCCTCCTGGGTACAGACAGCTCACCCCTTATTATAGCACTTGGACTGCAATGGCTGTTTGCAAGTCAGTGTGTCCCCCATGTCCCCAACTCCTTGTGCAGTGATGAGCCTTTATGCAGCCCAGGTCACTTTGATTTTCTGAGGTGCCCATCTGTCTGAAAATGAAGAGACGACAACACAGGATGACACACATGAAGGCAGGTTTTAAAATGTTTAACAAATTAATGTTAAATACTATGACAATTGTGCTGCTCACAAGATAATTATAAAATTTATTAAAATATAAGAACTTAGAGTGCTCCACAGGCACAGTGGCCTGGTAATAGAGTACAGGTTTAAGGATATACAAGGAGGGTCTTTGATCCCATCAGCCAGTGGAGCCGACATAATGTATAACCTTACTTAGAGATAAGGTGGAAAGCCTAAATTGGAGACCCTGGCCAAATGGCTCTTCTGGCCTCTTTCCCAGTGATGACAGGCTGTCCTGCTGCCTCTGCACATAGTAGGTACTCATTGTTTGCTGAATCATGGGAAGGAATACAGCTTTCCAATTTGGTTACCAAAAACCCACATATAGTAAGTATTCCCAAGAAACACTGCAGTCTAGAACAATGGGGCAGGAAGCCACCTCCTCCTCCAATGACCCCAACCCTGAGTCCAGCTGAAGGCTGCAACAGGAAGCCCCTCAGCCACTGTCCTTCCACTCCCTCTTCCCCACTGCCCCCAGGGGCTCCAGATGCAGTCATGCTTTCCATCCGCTCCCAGCCTCTCTTCTCTTTCCAACCTCTAGAGGGTCCCAGGTGAAGAAAGAAAAAAGCACTTACAGAAGGAGGCAGGCAGCCAAGCTGAGCCCAGAGAGCCGTCCTGGGCGCCACCCCGCCCCCGCCCCGCAGGCCTGAGGAATAAAAGAAACAGCCCGAAGACAAAGAAGGGCTTAAAGCACTGGGGCAAAGGGGTGGGGGGAAGGCCTAAGGAAGTTTACAAAGCAATCTGTCAGAGAAGGGATGAAAAGGGAGCCCCGCTGGGCTGAAGGGCTCAAGCCCTCAGCTCACCTTAGGCCCAGTTAGAAACCTGCAATTACTTCAGCTAGTCAGAAAGACTCCCCTCCTCCTCGCTCCGAGAAGTGTGATTATTAACCTCTGAACCAGAAGTTTCCCTGAGCGTGAAGCCTCAACTTGCTGGGGTTTTGGCAGCCCCAAGTACCTATGCTCTACTAGGCTCAGCACACCGCTCAATGGAGCCCACCAAACTGGCCCAACCTCTGTTGCGTCTGAATTTCTGGAAGAAACACAATGAGGATAAGGTCACCCACAGTTTCTCACAGCTATTGAGCCACTTTGATTTCCCAGATTTTCTGGGCTATCCAATATACCCACAAGCAGTTCTGGAAGTTTCCCTTACCACCAAAGCCAGGGTTCATAAAAAGTAACGGCTATCATCCAAGAGCGCACGCTTTGGAGCGCTTTAATCATCTCACCCACGCCTCACAACATCCTTAGGTATGATGGCCCTCATTTTACAGAAAAGGAAATGGGCCTGGATTCAATGACTTTCCAAAGGATACACAGCCTGGATTCCGAACCAGGTCTGTCTGACCTTGAGGCCCACGCTCTTTCCACTGGGGATACCGCCTCTCAGGAATCCTCCAGGATTCCATTTTATATGGTGCTCGGATCAATTTTATTTTTACAGCCAGTCTAATTTAGCAGTGGGGGGCTGTATACTAACTTTAGTGATATCAATGTTACTAAGTCTGGTAACCCACTACAATCGGACCAGCCTCGGATCGATTTTAGATGAGGTAGGATGGTATAATTCTGTGACATCTGAAGAATTCCTAGCCCCACAGTTGCGGGTGGAAAGAGAAGGAATGGGAAAGTGTGCATTATGGCTGGGTCGGGTCCTTCTAGTTCTTTTTAGACACTTGAGTAATTTAATCATAAATGACCGGGCATTGGGAACAGGACACTCACTAATAAAAGCATGGCCTGGAGTTATGTTTGAAAAAAAATTTCAAGTTCCTCAGTGGGTGGATCTATCTGCAAAACAAAAGAAAGGCCCCTTTCCCAGCCCAGGCAGAGAAGTCTCCTGTACAGTTAGAGACAACAGGCTTCCGGGCACGTAGCCAAGGTTCTGGGGATATTTATAACTTGAAGAGGGTGGGAGTCCCTAATAAGCTGCTATATTCTTTTTCCATCACTTCCCTCTCCAAGGCTACAGCGAGCTCGGAGCTCTTCCCCACGCAGAATGCCTGCTTTCCTTAGTGCTGGACTTCCATTGTCTAATTTCCTCATACTGGCTGGGGAAAGGGAAAGCTGCGAGTCCTCTCGTTCCGAGGAACTCCAGCTGAATGCAGTTTAGTTGCTGGTGGTTTCTTGGCCAACCTCTGTGGTCTCAGGGATCTGCCTATGAGCCTGTGGTTTCTTTGAGCTGCCTGCGAGTCTGAGGCCTCGGGAATCTGAGTCTTTAGGATCAGCCTACGACATCTGGGTTTCGCCTGCAAGTCTACAGATTCGAGATCTGCCTGCCGGTCTGAGACCTCCGGGACCTGCCAGTGCTAAAATCTTTCTGAACGCCAGGTCTGAGAGAACGCTGCGGCTCTGGGATCCGTTCGCGGTCTCAGGTTTTGGAGACGACGATCTAGTGGATCTTTTGCGCGACAGGAGGTAAGTCTGTTCGTCCCCCACTCGGGTTTTCGGCTTCCTACCTTCAACCGAACGGGGACTACTAACATCCTGAAGGCCCGCCCGGATCAGGGCCTCAGACGCCCAGGGTCCCTTCGGTGCGGGAGGCCGCCGGGAGCCCCTGTAGCAGACTACCCCTCGGGGACGATAAGCAGGACCCGCCCCCGCCCAGGGGCCTGGCTATCTCCTCCTTACACGCCCTACACCGCCACCCGCTTCTGAGTTCCCCCAGGGTTTTCGCCTCCCCGCCGATGGACGCCACTCAGTCCGCCGCTCGAGGGGCGCCCTCTTGAGAAGGACGCAGTCGCACGCCCCTACAGGGTTAAAGCGCCGAAGCCGAGATACCGCCAGGGTATGCTGCCGACCGCACTCCCGAGTCGCCCGGGCGGCGCGGGGCCTCTCGGGAGTTGTATTCCGCACGGAGCCGCGCGGCCGCAGGCGCTGCTGGGAGATGTAGTGCGTGGGCGGGGCTCAAAGTTCCAGCTCGGCCTCCGAGTCTCCCCTGGGGAGTGGGCGGCTGCCGCTTCCCTCTCCAGCCTGTGCTGTCAAGCAGGGGCTAATTCTAGCTCTGCTCAACACAGACCGGCGTCTAAATTAGGCCTGACTTCGCAGAAAATAAGGCCCGACTCAAGAGAAGCTTCTAGGGACGTGAGGCGAAGCAGGGCAGCTTCCCTGGCTGAATCGTGCTGCAGTCTCCATGAGAAGAAAGCGAGAATACTCCGCCCTCACTGGGAGGACGTGCTTACTTCTTCACCCTTTTGTTCTTTTCCCTCCTCGGCTTTTGGCCTCTGGCTGGCTTTTGTACGCGGGAGTGGAACTCCAACTCCCGGCAGGCCATGGGGGCAGGCACAGGCGCACTAGAGGCTCTTGGCCACGCTGTGGGAGGCGGGCCTAGTGTTCCGCCTCTGATTGGTAGAGTGTTTCACGAACTTCGCTCGCTGATTGGCTGAGGCAGCTGCCGGAAAGGACCGGGCCTCGAGACGGCAGGGCGGAGGCGTTCCCTGGGCTGGGCTGAGCGCCTCCTCCTGGAAACAGCATCGGTCTAACCCCCGGCGCGGGAGGGACCCAGCCAGGGGGCTGTCCTAGTAGATTCCGGCATTGCCTCCACCCCGCTGTGGCGGAGACACAGAGGGCGGGTCGCGCTCGAGGGTCAGGGAGGAGAGTGACCCGGCCCTGGTCCAGGGCCCTCCCTGCACGCCTTGGGGCCAGAACTCCAGCCCTGGGGAGTGGGCAGGGCCTGTTTTCCGTGCCTCACACCCTGCTTTTCGCCTCCTTCAGCGCTGTCTGCTAGCTGCTTTTCCTGCTCTCTCTCCCTGGAGGCGAACCCTTGTGCTGGAGATGGCAGCCACCCTGCTCATGGCTGGGTCCCAGGTAAGCCGGGGGTGGCTTCTCGGACCTTATCTCTTCTTACCCACCTCGTCCGGCGTTTCTCCGCTCTGCAAGTCCCTGTGGGAAATTCCCTGGGATTAGTAATTCGCTGGCTTCGATATTCTGCCTCCAGGGGCCTAGTACCAAGCCAGTATTGTCACAAACAAGCATATATCGAACACCTGCTGTATGCCTTTAAATACTGGGGAGATAAAAGATGGACGAGATGGGCGCTACCTTTTGGCTCACAGTTCACAATCTATAGGGAGAAAGGCGGATCCACTTAAGCGTGGCACAACGTAATAAGTGCTCTATTTGCTGTAGGAAAAAAGTGCTGTAGTGTGGGAATCACTCCCAAGAAGTGGGAGTGATTAAGTCTATCTGGGGCATCCGAGGGGAGTGGAGTAGTGCAGAGGGGTAGGGGGCATTGAAGAACAGTTGGTACTGGAGCGGGACCTTAAAAAGCAGTAGAATTTCACTAGTGTGAGAAGGATATTCCAGGGAAAGAGGGACATTATGAGTAAAGGTATGGAGCAATGCAAGTGCCAGATAGGTCCTGAGAAAAGCACAGCCAGAGGATAAAGTTCCTGAGTGGGGCAGGGATAGCTGGCCATGGGACCAGAACAATCAGCTCATAAATTGCTGCCTTTACCACGTCTCTTTTTTGCTTGAATATTTCTTCTTTGGACTCTATAGATCACATTTAATATCTTTTTCCTCCTGAATATTTCTAACTATGTTTGTAATTTCAAGAAGTCCTAAATACAGAATAGTAGGGAAGCGTTGTGTGATTTCAGGCACCTGTGACGTTTGAAGATATGGCCATGTATCTCACCCGGGAAGAATGGAGACCTCTGGACCCTGCACAAAGGGACCTTTACAGGGATGTTATGCAGGAGAATTACGGAAATGTTGTCTCACTAGGTAAGTAAGGAGTCTACCTTTCTTTGCCTCCACGTTTTTGAGATCATGTCAAAATGACTTGGTTATTTCAACGCAGCCTAGTGGTTTGATGTTTTAAAGCACTTAATTGCATATTGGCTTGACTTGAGTCCTCAGGCAGATCTTTGAATGTGGGAACATCCAGGTCATATTGTCTAAAAAGAAAAAAAACTGCTTCTGCACATTTTAGAAACGTTCAGATTTCTTGTGCCCTGAGTCATTTTCCAATCTCCAGCCTGTTTGTACAGATCACTGACCAAACAGGTCTGGCATAATAGTGCTTGCCAGAATATAAATGCCCCTATAAGTAGTGCTTTTACTCTAGGGTGCTAAAAAATGAGGGGATTCTAACCCAGGTTCATGGGAGGGCGAAAGCCACCTTTTTGTGTTTGTTTTGGCTTCAGAGCACTAGCTTTGACTCAAGTTCCTTAGCTGAGTAGGTTGCCATCTAGAAATGTTTCAGTGTTGATGATGATAGATTTCTAGTGTGTCAAATGCTGTTCCAGAAGAATGCTGCAATAGATCACAAATTCTATTCGAGAGGGCAGCTGATTTTTTTTACATGATCTGCAAGCCTGTCTTCTCTCTTTGCTGTACTTTGGTCTGGGTGTAACTAGAATAAACAGTATATTCTTGAGCTGAACGGTCTTTTGACTCATTCTGCCTCCTGTCAAGACTTGACAGACATTAGCAAGCGTGTGTGGGTCACTAGGTCATCTGCCACTCATTAGGACTAATCCTTTTTTTGAAATCTTTATTCCCATAGCCTTTCTCAGAACAAAAGGCAACTCTGAGGGCTTTCCTTTTTAACTTGAGCTTTCTCTGATATCCCTAGTTTCTTGAATCCTTTCTTTATAAAAGTAACTATAAATAGTTATCTACCCAGATCTATTGCAGTCTGTAACCCAAATATTCCACTTAATCCAACAAAAGCAAAAAATGACAATCATTTAAAAATGTGAATTTACATTTCTATAGTTTAGCCCCAAAAGCACTTGTTAGAAGCATGGAAGCACCAAAAAACTGGTTTTTTGCCCAAATAAGTTTGGGAATGGGAATGGGTTTAAAAATGATTACGAGACGACCTTTTTCTTTTTTTTTTTTTTTTGATAGGATCTTGCTCTGTTGCCCAGGCTGGAGTGCAGTGGCATGATCACAACTCATTGCAGCCTTGACCTCCCAGGCCCAGGTCATCCTCCCATCTCAACTTCCTGAGTAGCTGGGATCACAGATGTGTACCACCTTGCCCAGCTAATTCTTTTTATTTTTTTAAAATTTTTTAATTAAAAAAGATTTTTTTCTGAGACAGAGTCTCACTCTGTTGCCCTGACTGGAGTGCGGAGTTCAAGCGATTCTCCTGCCTCAGCCTCCCAAGTAGCTGGGATTACAGGCACATGCCACCATGCTCAGCTAATTTTTGTATTTTTAATAGAGACAGGGTTTCACTATGTTGGTCAGGCTGGTCTTGAACTCCTGACCTCAAGTGACCCACCCACCTCAGCCTCCGAAAGTGCTAGGATTACAGGCATGAGCCACCACACCCAGCCTCTTTTTATTTTTAATAGAAGAGAGACCTCCCTGTGTTGCACAGGCTGGTCTCAAACTCCTAGGCTTAAGTGATCCTCCTGCATCAGCCTCCCAAAGTGCTGGGATTAGAGGCCTAAGCTACTGCATCTGGCCTTATAAGGCCTTTTTACCTTAGGATTCCTTAGAGCCTTTAGTGTGTTATTAGGCATTGTGAATTTTGAAGGAAACGATATTGTATGTACCGTTTACCAACCTAGTTTATTCATGAACCCTTTTCTCCTGAAATGCATACTTTCTTTCTGAAGAGTGTACTAAGAAACCCAATTTGGAGAATGCAGTGTCTGGTATAAAACTTCTTGTAGACAGTGGTTGTGTATTTTGATTTTCATTTGAAGACTGCATGTGAAATAGACAATGCCAAGGACGTTCTCAACCAGACATCTTTTTTGCCTTCTTCAACCTTCCCACTTCTATGTTCATTAAAAGGTCACTGAAAAGTAGGAAGTGACATTTGTCAGTCACTTTTCTGTCAACTATGACATAGGTAAAGATTCATTTTTCTCCATGTTAACATAGTTGGTTCTGGCTGGGCATGGTGGCTCATGCCTGTAATCCCAGCAGTTTGGGAGGCCGAGACGGGCGGATCACCTGAGGTCAGGAGTTCAAGACCAGCCTGGCCAATGTGGTGAAACCCCGTCTCTACTAAAAATACAAAAAAATAGCTGGGTGTGGTTGTGGGCACCTCTAATCCCATCTACTCGGGAAGCTGAAGCAGGAGAATCGCTTGAACCCAGGAGGCGGAGGTTGCAGTGAGTGGAGATCGCGCCATTGCACTCCAACCTGGGCAACAACAGTGAAACTCTGTCTCAAAAAACAAAACAAAACAAACAAAACAACCGTAGTGAGTTCTTAGTAAATATTTCATGATGCTACTAATGATGAAGGCTTGGCAAGTTAAAAAATACACACTCACAAAATATCTGGACTTTTGCCTTTTAGATATTCTAATTTAGAGTCTCATATTTTCTGCTTCCAGTTTTCTTTCAAAACATGAGGAATATATATAGTTTCCTTTTCTTTCTTTTTTTAAGAGATAGGGTATCGTTCTGTCACACAGACTGGTGTGCAGTGGCACAATCACAGCTTATTGCAGCCTTGAACTCCTGGGCTCAGGTGATCCTCTTACCTCAGCCTCCTAAGTAGCTGGAACTACAGTTGCATGCCACCACACCCACCTAATTTTTTAAATTTTTTGTAGAGATAGGGTCTCCCTATATTGCCCAGCCTGGTCTTGAACTCCTGGCCTGAAGTGATCCTCCTGTCTTGGCCTCCTAAAGTGTTAGGATTACACGCGTGAGCCACGGCACCTGGCCTGTGTAGTTTTCTTAAGGAATCATTAATTACAGCGATACAGAACATGAATTTTGACAGACCTGAGTTTGAATACTGGCTTTACCATTTACTATGGCGTTGAACAAGTCAATTCACTTGTCTGGGTCTTGGATTTCTCATTAATGAAGTAGAAATAATCACAATTCCTGACCCTCAGAATAGCTGTGATAAAGAATATAGTAATTCATATAAATAATTTAGGCTGGGCACAGTGGCTCAGGAGTTCAAGACCAGCCTGACCAATACCGTGTAACCCTGTGTCTACTAAAAATAAAAAAATTAGCTGGGCGTGGTGGCATGCACCTGTAGTCCCAGCTACTAAAGAGGCTGAGACAGGAGAATTGCTTGAACCTGAGAGGCAGAGGTTGCAGTGAGCCAAGATCATGCCACTGCACTCCAACCAGGGCAACAGAGTGCGACTCTGTCTCAAAAAAAAAAAAAAAAATTAATATAGTGCCTGGCACATAATAGGTAATTTTTGTTCTTACTAGCCTTATTGTTTACTTTTTATTACAGATTTTGAGATCAGGAGTGAGAACGAGGTAAATCCCAAGCAAGAGATTAGTGAAGATGTACAATTTGGGACATCTGAAAGACCTGCTGAGAACGCTGAGGAAAATCCTGAAAGTGAAGAGGGCTTTGAAAGCGGAGATAGGTCAGAAAGACAATGGGGAGATTTAACAGCAGAAGAGTGGGTAAGCTATCCTCTCCAACAAGTCACCGACCTGCTTGTCCACAAAGAAGTCCACACAGGTATCCGCTATCATATATGTTCTCATTGTGGAAAGGCCTTCAGTCAGATCTCAGACCTTAATCGACATCAGAAGACCCACACTGGAGACAGACCCTATAAATGTTATGAATGTGGAAAGGGCTTCAGTCGCAGCTCACACCTTATTCAGCATCAAAGAACACATACTGGGGAGAGGCCTTATGACTGTAACGAGTGTGGGAAAAGTTTTGGAAGAAGTTCTCACCTGATTCAGCATCAGACAATCCACACTGGAGAGAAGCCTCACAAATGCAATGAGTGTGGAAAAAGTTTCTGCCGTCTCTCTCACCTAATCCAACACCAAAGGACCCACAGTGGGGAGAAACCCTATGAGTGTGAGGAGTGTGGGAAAAGCTTCAGCAGGAGCTCTCACCTAGCTCAGCACCAAAGGACCCACACGGGTGAGAAACCTTATGAGTGTAACGAATGTGGCCGAGGCTTCAGTGAGAGATCCGATCTCATCAAACACTATCGAGTCCACACGGGGGAGAGGCCCTACAAGTGTGATGAGTGTGGGAAGAATTTCAGTCAGAACTCCGACCTTGTGCGTCATCGCAGAGCCCACACGGGAGAGAAGCCGTACCACTGTAATGAATGTGGGGAGAATTTCAGCCGCATCTCACACTTGGTTCAGCACCAGAGAACTCACACTGGAGAGAAGCCATATGAATGCAATGCTTGTGGGAAAAGCTTCAGCCGGAGCTCTCATCTCATCACACACCAGAAAATTCACACTGGAGAGAAGCCTTATGAGTGTAATGAGTGTTGGCGAAGCTTTGGTGAAAGGTCAGATCTAATTAAGCATCAGAGAACCCACACAGGGGAGAAGCCCTATGAGTGTGTGCAGTGTGGAAAAGGTTTCACCCAGAGCTCCAACCTCATCACACATCAAAGAGTTCACACGGGAGAGAAGCCTTATGAATGTACTGAATGTGAGAAGAGTTTCAGCAGGAGCTCAGCTCTTATTAAACATAAGAGAGTTCATACAGACTAAGTCCTGTAATTATGATGGCTGAGAAATGATTCATTTGAAGATACAATTTTATTTGATATCAATGAACGCCCTCAAGACTGAGCTGCTTTTATCATACTCTTGTAGTAGTTGTGGGCCACAATTTAAACCATCAGAGATGACAAGCCATTTGAAATTCTGACCCTCAGCTTTGGGAATGTTATCTCCTCCAAAATGGTGATTTTTATTCACTCAATGGGTTACTTCATTAAAATCAGCCCCACAAGTAACTGGAAAACGGAAGACCAGGGGACAAATGCTGGTGAATGCTCAGGCTTGGAAATGGAGTAAATCTTTCAATGTTATTTTCTCCCATCCTTGGCCCAAGGAACTATGCTAAGTGAAATGTGGGACTGTAATAGGGTGGTCATGGCTGCTTTGGAAAAAGGCAACTAGAGACTCTGCCTGAATTGCCACACCTATTCACACACCATAGTAGTTGGGCACACACATCTTCCCCTCCAAAGGGCTTTTTCCTTGAGTTGCTCATGCATTTGTATCTTTTCCATCTTCCTGAGGGCAAGATTTTGCACGATGAAGGCAATGATTGTAACTTTTCTTCTCACTGTTTCTAATTAGCTCATTTAAAACTTGCATCTTTGTGAAAGCTAACTGAAGATACAGTTGGAAAGGAAAAACAAGACACAGGTTTGGGGACCAAGGACCCATCAATGATGGTGACTTTAGCAGAAGATGTCCACAGTTATTACTGCCATTAATCAGATTTATGAATTTTCTTTGGGGATCACTATAGGGAACATTGCAGGGAAAATATCTTCAAGGAAAGATAGGACCATCAGTGACAGTTAAGTTTAAGGAGCAAGTGGAATTGACTCCTTCAGGGAAGGAATCACAGAGTCCCTTCCCAAGGAATGTAGGTCGTTTCTGTGTTTTTCCCTCTCTAATGTTTAAGATCAACTCTTCCTATCCTGCTAACTCTAAGATTTGATAAGGGCCACATCCCAGTGTTTATCTTAGCTTGCATCAGGGCATGTGTATGTACAGTAATGTGTATTCCTGTGGTTTTTCTAATAGCAGAAACTGAATTTACAGAGACTTAGCATGTTCTTGGGTGATGTGAGTCGTGACGGAAGTGTAAACATAACTCCAATGTGAGAAATGTCCTTTTTTCATTATGAAAAAAATTTAAACACTAGTGCTTTAGTGTGCACTCTCCTGTAAGGTCTGTCTTTGTTCAGAGCTAAGCACTTATTTGTATGTGTTTGTCAATTGTGGAAGATAATGACCAGACAAATAGGTCAATTGTCCTATTCTCAGAATGAATTATCTTCTATGGCAATGAAGAACTCTTTGACTTAGAAGGAATTAACAAACCTTGGTAGGAATGTATTTCCATCCTCCCACCCTACAGATATAAGTGGTTAAAATAACAGTTCACCCAATTTAAACCCAGTAGTGTCCGTTTTCCTAATCTCAGTCCAGGTAGGAATTAAGAAATATCTCAAATGTTGATGCTTATCCAAGCATGTTGGGGTGAAAGGGAATTGGTGCCCAGAAAATGGGACTGGAGTGAGGAATATCTTTTCTTTTGAGAGTACCCCCAGTTTATTTCTACTGTGCTTTATTGCTACTGTTCTTTATTGTGAATGTTGTAACATTTAAAAAATGTTTTTGCCATAGTTTTTTGGGACTCGGTGTTAAAGGAGCCAGTGGTCTCTCTTGGGTAGGGTATTATAATGAGTTATTGTGACCCACAGCTGTGTGGGACCATATCACTTGTTAATAACACAACCTTTAAAGCAACCCATCTTCCAGTGGAGTTCCTTCATGTTGCCACTCCTTTTTAAGGACACACTCAGGCAAGGAGCATGTTTTTTTGTTCTTTACAAAATCTAGCAGACTGTGGGTATTCATATTTTAATTGTCAGGTGACACATGTTCTTGGTAACTAAACTCAAATATGTCTTTTCCCATACATGTTGCTGATGATTGTAATAAATGTCAAAGTTCTCCGGTTGCTTCTGTGAGCCACTACGGGGATCAGCTTGGGAGTGGCCATAGATGACAGCATTTCCATGACCTAACTGTATTTCACCCCCTTTTCCTTCCCTACTGTTCTTGCCCCACCCCAACCAGTTCCTGCTGCTGCTTTTGGCTTCTTAGAGGTGAAGGGCTCAAAACAAGGCTTCTAAGCATGGAGCTATCTCCGTACATGAACAATCTAGCTGGGGAACTGAAAGGACAAGGGCCACCCCAGCTGTCTCCTCTCTTTCTGCCAATTGTTGCCCGTTTGCTGTGTTGAACTTTGTGTAGAACTTATGCATCAGACTCCCTTCACTAATGCTTTTTGCATGCCTTCTGCTCCCAAGTCCCTGGCTGCCTCTGCACATCCCATGAACACTTTGTGCCTGTTTTCTATGGTTGTGGAGAGTGAATGAACAAATCAGTATGTAGAACAGTTTTCCTCATGGTATTGGTCACAGTTATACTAGTGTTTGTATTATTCTAACTATATTCTATAATTAAAAGTATAATTTTTAAAGTCAGCAAACCTGAGAATTATTTTAGTAATCCAGCACTGATTCATATAATGGCTTTTCATCAGATTCATTAAAATCGGGCATGACTGTCTTTACACTGATGCATTTTGTACAGATGTACAGATATTTTACACAGATGTTCTTGTAGGCATTTAGGAGTGTAGTATCTTGAGCCCTATGGTTATTGCCATATCTTGGGAAGATGAAAAAACCCGAGTAGTTTTCTATGAAGGTTATGCTGGTGATAAAAGCCACATGGAAATATTTGGTATGGGTGGCTCATTAGCTTTGGGGAAGGAAAAAAAAAATCCAAAAAGAAAAATGAGAGAAGGCCTTGTTGCTTTAAGGAGATATTTTGGAGTATTCATTAAGAATACTAAGTCTTCTGGGTGCGGTGGCTCACGCCTCTAATCCCAGCACTTGGGGAGGCCGAGGTGGGTGAATCACCTAAGGTCTGGATTTCGAGACCAGCCTGGCCAATATGGTGAAACCCCATCTCCAGTAAAAACACAAAAATTAGCCGGGCGTGGTGGCTTGTACCTGTAATCCCCACTACTCAGGAGGCTGAGGCAGGAGAGTTGCTTGAACCTGGCAGGCAGAGGTTGCAGTGAGCCGAGATCACACCACTGTACTCCAGCTGGGTGACAGAGCGAGACTCTGTATCAAAAAAGAAAAAGGAAAAAAAACTAAACTAAAACAGTTTCTACCACACTAGGATTGAGTTCCTAGAACAGATACCTCTTAGAAACAAAGGCTCTCTATTCATGTCATAGTTGTACAGTCTGCCTAAGGCTGTGATTAGGTATTACCAGGGTGTGGCCACAATTTTCAAATTACTTACAAGTAATTTTCTCTCAATGAAATCTTTTTTAAAATGGACAGCCAGCCTAGGCAAAGGTAGGGATGGAAGTGCTTTATATTGGGAAAAATATAAATACGAAAGAAATGTTTTTAATTCTGTAGCCAAGACTTGCAAAGAAGAGAAACTTCATCAAAAACCCTTTTTTTTTTTTTTAAGACAGAGTTTTGCTCTGTCACCCAGGCCGGAATGCAGTGGCGTGATCACAGCTCATTGCAGCCTCGACCTCCCCAGGCCCAAGTGATCCTCCCCACCTCAGCCTCCTGAGTAGCTGGGACCACAGGTGTGTGCCACTACACCCAGCTAATTCTTTTTGTTATTTTTTTAGAGATGGGGTCTCCATGTTTTGCCCAGGCTGGTCTCAAACTCTGCGGCTCAAGTGCTCCGAGTCAGCCTCCTAAAGTGATGGCTTACAGGTGTGAGCCACCATGCGTGGCCTCAGAATATTATTTAGGCTACTCTGGGCCACTCTGCTTATGGGTGAGCCCTGCTCTGTCTATAGAGCAGCCAAAAATATATATACATATAAACTCTTAGCCGGGTGTAGTAGCAAGTGCTCCCAACTACAGAGGCTGAAGCTGAGGCTGAGTTCGAGGCTGCAGAGCAAGACCTCATCTCTTAAAAGCAAAAACAAAAACAAAAACAAAAAACTCGGCCGGGTGCGGTGGCTCACGCCTATAATCCCAGCACTTTGGGAGGCCGAGGCGGGCGGATCACGAGGTCAGGAGATCAAGACCATCCTGGCTAACACGGTGAAACCCCGTCTCTACTAAAAATACAAAAAAATTAGCCGGGTGTGGTGGCGGGTAGTCCTAGCTACTCAGGAGGCTGAGGCAGGAGAATGGCGTGAACCAGGGAGGCAGAGCTTGCAATGAGCCGAGATTGTGCCACTGCACTCCAGCCTGGGCGACAGAACAAGACTCCGTGTCCAAAAAACCCAAAACAAAACAAAACAAAAAAAAACAAAAAAAAACCTTACTACATGTTCAGCATTTTTCATTGCTGGGAAGGAAAGTTAAGGGAAAATGCTAGTTCACCTGGAGAAGTATAGTTCAAGAGCCTCCCTCTAAGAGTATTTGATATGTTAATATCTTGCCATTGTTGTTATTATTGAGCAAATTTCCTTCTGTGTGAACTGTTCTCTAAGACCCTAGAGGTAGGTTAGGACTGTGTTTCCGGGCTATTAGGACATCACTGAGTGCACTGAAATGATAATTTGTTAAGTGGTTCCCTGGTGTTGTAGAAGTTAGTGTAGCTCCCAAAGGAGTTCCCAAGCCCTGGGAGAAACTGACTCTTTGGAAGCAGTTGTTAGATACCCACCTCTGCGGTAGAGTAGCAGATGTGGGCTCTGCTTATCAATAGGAAACTTCGATCGTTAGTGAAAAACAGCTGAATTAATGGGAGAAAATTACCTTGTAATGACCTAAAATGGGTCCGTGGGAAATCCCATTGCATAGTCTGTTTTTCTAAATGCTTCATTCCCAAAGTTTATATCATTTTCAGCTTCTCTAAAATGCTTTTATTTTGTTTTTCCTTTTGGGTAAGATTGAGAGTGATGACACCAAAATCTGGCAGAGTTTCACACCAGCCCCTGCAGCTGCTTTCTGGACAGCTCTGCTTGGAAATTACCCATCAAAGCATGAACAAAATAACAAAACTAAGTTAAAAAATTATAATAGGAAATTACCCAGACATCTTGAAATCAAACCCTGAACTCAACTTGCCACGTTTTCCCCTACTCCCTGCCTGCTTCTCCTGTTTCTAACTCAGTCATTGCCCACTTATCCAAGCCAGAAACTTGCATATCATACTTACTCCCGTTCCTTTAGCCACCCTCCCCAAATCAGTAACAAATATTGTGTAACTATTTATCCAGTCAGGCCCATACCACCTCCTAAATAGTTCTCAGATCCTTCTGCCTCGCTCTCTACTGCCACCACTTACCACGTGACTTCCGGCAATTATTTAGCTTTTCTGTTCCTTGGATTCCCCATCCGCAAATGGGAGTAATTATGTCTACCTCATAGAGTTGCAAAGATTAAATGAGATCACGGGACTCAAACTATTAGCAGCAATTATTCAGACCATCACTGGGCCATATCTCGCTTACTGAAACGACCTCCTAATGAGTCTCCTCTTTTCTATTTTGATTCCCATCAGTCTGTTCTCCCTTTCTGCTAGAACAATCTTTCTGAAAGGAAAATCCCTTTATGCCACTCTTCTGTGTAAAGCCCTGTCATGCTTCCCATTGCCAGCAGCAAACAGTGAACCTCCTTTGGTGTGATATCTGAGGGGGTCATTCATGATCTGGCCTCTGTCGCTCTCCCCAGCTCTGGTTCCCTCCTCTTTTCCTGAACTTGCAACACTCCAAGCTGCATCTCTTCTGGCCAAGTCCTACTCAACCTTCAGGTCTCATACCTAACTTGCTCTAGGAAACTTTTCCCAATCCCGTAAGACTGGATCAGGTGTTCCTTTTCTGTTTTCCCTGGGTTTATCTCAATCAAAGCACTTTATCCTTGTTTTGTAATTGCCTGCTTACTTTTTTGTCTCCTCCATTAAACTTTGATATCTTTGAAGAAGTCACTGTCTTGCTCACCGTTATGTCTTCAACCCCCAGCAAATGTTTGGGGTAGAATAAGCAGGCAACAATAAAATAAGGAGAATACATATAAATGTTATTCCCTTCATATTTCTGATTGTCACCACACCAAGCTACTCTTTTTTTTTTTTTCCTAGAATCTCACTTTGTCACCCAGGGTGGAGTGCAGTGGTATGATTTCGGCTCACTGCAACCCCTGCCTCCCAGGTTCAGGCTGATTCTCGTGCCTCAGCCTGCTGAATAACTGGGATTACAGGGCACCTGCTGTCACGCACAGCTGTTTCAGTATTTTTAGTAGAGACAGGGTTTCGCCATGTTGGCCAGGCTGGTCTCGAACTCCTGGCCTCAAGTGATCAGCCCACCTTGGCCTCCCAAAGTGCTGGGATTATAGGCTGTGAGCCACCGCGCCCGGCCAGTACTCATTAAAAGAACTGTAGAATTTCTGTCATTAGTGCATCTGGTAAGGCCTTCTGGAAAGAAGAAGGTGGCTTCCAGAAGTAATGTGAGCCATCTAAGACCCTCCAGGTAAAGACTCTCACTCTGTCACCCAGGCTGGAGTACAGTGTCACAAACACAGCTCACTGCAGCCTTAACTTCTGGGCTAAAGGGATCCTCTCAGCCTTCCCAGTAGCTAGGACCACAGGCATGCCACCATCATGCCCAGCTAATTTTGTTTTTTATTATTTATAGCGGGGGGGGGGGAGGTCTCCCTATGTTGCCCAGGCTGGTCTTGAACTCCTGGGCTCTAGGGATCCTCCCGCGTCAGCTTCCCAAAGTGCTGGGATTACAGGAATGAACCAATGCACTTGGCAGAGTATGCTATTAAAAGAACCAGAACATATAAAGAGGAGGAGTCTGGGATTGGGGATAAAGATTACAAGTAAATGAAGTCATTTAATAAAAATTCATTGAGCACCACCAGGCATTCTGGCTCACGCCTGTAATCCCATCACTTTGGGAGGCCGAGGCAGGTGGATCACCTAAAGTCAGGAGTTCGAGACCAGCCTGGCCAACATGGTGAAACCCCATCTCTACTAAAAATACAAAAATTAGCTGGGCGCAATGGTGGGCACCTATAATCCCAGCTACTCGGGAGGCTGAGGCAGGAGAATCGCTTGAACCTGGGGGGCGGAGGTTGCAGTGAGCCAAGATTGGGCCACTGTATTTCAGTCTGGGTGACAGGGCGAGACTCCATCTAAAAAAAAAAAAAAAAAAAAAAAGCCAAGCACAGTGGCTCATGCCCATAATCCCAGCACTTTGGGAGGCTGAGGCCAGCGAATCACGAGGTCAGGAGTTTGAGACCAGCTTGACCAACATGGTGAAACCCCGTCTCTAGTAAAACTTAAAAAAAATTAGCTGGGTGTGGCCGGACGCGGTGGCTCACGCCTGTAATCCCAGCACTTTGGGAGACTGAGGTGGGCGGATCATGGGTCATGGGATCAGGGATCATGGGTTAGGAGATCGAGACCATCCTGGCTAACATGATGAAACCCCACCTCTACTAAAAATACAAAAATTAGCTGGGCATGGTGGCGGGCACCTGTAGTC